ATTTTTTATTTAAGTGTAGTTGATTTGCAATGTTAGTTTCAGGTGTACAGCAAACTGATTCAGTTATACATATACATACATATGTATTTTCTTTTTTCAGATTCTTTTCCAAGTGCATATTGCATTGAACCTGTAGACTGCCTTGGGTAGAATGGTCATGGGGTAGTATGGTCATTTTAACAATATTCTTCCAATCCAAGAACATGGCTTATCTTTCCATCTGTTTGTGTTGTCTTCCGTTTCTTTCATCAGTGTCTTGCAGTTTTCTGATCATAGGTTTTTTACCTCCTTATGTAGGTTTATTCCTAGGTATTTAACTCTTTTTGATGTTATCGTAAATAGGACTGTTTCTTTAATTTCTTTTTCTGATGGTTCATTTTTAGTGTCTAGAAATACAACAGGTTTCTGAATATTAATTTTGTATCCTATAACTTTACCGAATTCATTGATGAGCTCTAGTAGATTTCTGGTGGCATCTTTAGGATTTTCTATGTATAGTATCATGTCACCTGCAAATAGTGACATTTTATTTCTTCCTTTCCAAGTTGGGTTTCTTTATAACTTTTTCTTTGATTGCTGCAGCTAGAACTTCAAAACCGTGTTGAATAAAAATGGTGAGAGTGGGCATCCTTGTCTTGTTCCTGATTTTAGAGGAAATGCTTTCAGCTTTTCACCACTCAGTATGATGTTAGCTGTGGGTCTGCATTATATGGCCTTTATTATGTTGAGGTATGATTCCTCTATTCCTACTTTCTGGAGAGTTTTTATCATAAGTCGATGCTGAATTTTATCAGAAGCCTTTTCTGCATCTGTATATGATCATATGGCTTTTATTTTTCTATTTGATAATGTGGTATTGCACACTGATTGATTTGCGATAGTGAAAAATCCTCATGTCCCTCGGGTAAATCCCGCTTGATCATGGTGTATGATCCTTTTAATGTATTGCTGGATTCGGTTTGCTAGTATTTTATTGAGGATTTTTGCATCTATGTTCATCAGTGATATTAGCCTGTAATTTTCATTTTTTGTGATACCTTTGGTTTTGGTATCAGGGTGATGCTGGCCTCATAGAATGAGCTTGGAAGTGTTCCTTCCTCTGCAATTTTTTGGAATAGTTTCAGAAGGATAGATGTTATAAGTCTCTATATGTTTGGTAGAAATAACCTGGGGAGCCATCTGGTCCTGGACTTTTGTTTGTTGGGAGTTTAAAAAATTACTGATTCAATTTCAGCCCTGGTAATTTCTTCCTGGTTCAGTCTTGGGAGATTGTACCTTCCTAAGAATTTGTTCACTTATTTCTATGTGCATTTTCTTTAGCATATAGTTGTTCAGAGTAGTCTCTTATGATTCTTTGTATTTCCGTGGTGTTGGTTTTAACTTCTTTTTCATTTCTGATTTTATTGATTTGGGCCCTCTCTCCTTTTTTCTTGGTGAGTCTGGCTAAAGGTTTATCAATTTTATCTTTTCAAAGAAACAGCTTTCAGTTTCATTGATGTTTTCCATTTTTTTTAAAGTCTCTTTTATTTATCTGCTCTAATATTTATAATTTCTTTCCTTCTACTAAATTTGGGGTTTGTTCTTCCTCTAGTTTCTTTAGATGTAAGATTAGGTTTTTTATTTGCGATTTTTCTTGTTTTCTGAGGTAAGCTTGTATCACTATAAACTTCCATTAGAACTGCTTTTGCTCTGTCCCACAGGTGTTGGATTGTCATGTTTTCATTTTCATTTGTTTCTAGGTATTTTTTTTACTTCCTTGATTTCTTCGGTGACCCATTGGTTGTTAAGTAGCATATTGTTTAGCCTCCATGTGCGTGTGTGTTTTAAGTTTTTTCTTGTAGTTTGTTTCTAGTCTTGTAGTGTTGTGGTTGTAAAGGATGCTTGTTATGTTTTTAATTTTCTTAAATTTATCAAGGCTTGTTTTGTGCCTAACATGTGATCTATCCTGGAGAATGTTTCATGTACACTTGAAAAGAATGTGGATTCTGCTGCTTTTGGCTGGAATACGCTATAAATATCAATTAATTCCATGTGGTCTAATTTGTCATTTAAGGCCCATGTTTCCTTATTGATTTTCAATCTGGATGATCTGTCCATTGATGTAAGTGGGGTGTCAAAGTCCCCTACTATTATTGTGTTACTGTTGATTTCTCCTTTTATATCCATTAATGTTTGCCTTATGTATTTAGCTGCTCCTTTGTTGGGTGCATGTATATTTACAATTGTTACATCTTTTTCTTGGATCGATCCCTTGATCATCATGTAGTGTCTTTTGTCTCTTGTAACAAACTTTTTTTTAAAGTTCATTTTATCTGATGTAAGTATTGCTACTCTGGCTTTATTTTGATTTCCATGTGCATGGAATACCTTTTTCCATCCCCAAATTTCAGTCTGTGTCTCTAGATCTGAAATGAGTCTCCTTACACAGCATACATATACATGTTTTGGCATCCATTCAGTCAGTCAATGTTATTTGATTGGAGCATTTAGTCCATTTACATTTAGGGTAATTATTGATATGTATGCTCTTACTGCCATTTTGTTAATTGTTTTGGGTTCATTTTTGTAGGTCTTTTTTCCCCCTTCTTTTGCTCTCTTGTGATTTGATGACTGTCTTTAGTATTATGTTTCAATTCCTTTCTCTCTTTTTAAAAAATGTTATAGTTGATTGCAATGTCATTAGTCCTTTCTCTTTTTGTGTATCTCGTACAGATTTTTGGTTTGTGGTTACCATGAGGTTTATATATAGCAATTTCTCTCTATATATGTGATATTTTAGTTGTTGATTTCTTAAGCTGAATGCTTTTTAACAATCCAGCATTTGTATTCTCCTCCCAAAATGATTGTCTTTGATGTCATATTTTTTATCTAATTGTTTTGTGTATCCCTTACCTGCTTATTGTGGATATAGATGACTTTACTATTTTTGTCTTTTGACCTCCCTACTAGCTTTGTGTGTAGATGATTTCCTACCTTTAGTGTATGTTTACCTCATTCATTTTGTAATTTTCTTACTTCTAGTTGCAGCCTTTTTCACCCAGAGAATTTCCTTTAACATATGTCATAAAGCTGGTTAGGTGGTGCTGAACTCTTAGGTTTTGCTTGTCTATAAAGCTTTTAATTTCTCCATCAGATCTGAATGGGAACCTTGCTGGGTAGAGTATTCTTGGTTGTAGGTTTTTTTTATCATCTTAAATATATTGTGCCACTACCTTCTGGCCTACAGAGTTTCTGCTGAAAAATCAGCTGATAGCCTTATGGGACTTAACTTGTATGTTATTTGTTGCTCTTCCCTTGCTGCTTTTAATATTCTCTAATTTTTGTCATTTTCTAAAATCACTTATGATCTTTAAAATAATAATGAAAACTACCAACATAAAGACCCAAGTAGCAGCCACTAAGGAAAGAGTTGCAAGCAAAAAAATTGTAACAAACTTAAAATTGCATCTCCGTTCACAGCTGGTCCTTTTCTCTTCCAACTCCTGGACTTTAGAAAGCCTCCCCCAAACCAATGAAGTGCAAAGGATGTGAGAAAATGACAACTTAGAGCATTTTTAAGCAGGCTTAGGTGTTCAACGATTAAAAACAGGAATGGGGGACTGTGAGGTTAGGGACATGTTTCTTACAAAGTCATTAAAAAAAATTGCTTTTCTAACCTAACCTAAGGTAGCCATTTCATCATGCCTTTTAATTTCTATGCACAGAACAAATGTAGGCCAATAGTTGAGTAATTTCCATTAGTTAAAAAAAAAAAAGAATGCAAAAGATGGGAGAATTTGTTGGTGCCTGTTTATTTTAATATGCAATAATTTACTTCAAAATGCTTTAGTATAAAATTTGATGTATTTGTGTATGTATAGTTTAACTTTAATCTTACCCTGGGGGTAGGCCAGGCAGAATTTGAAGGACCCCAATCTGGTGGCTTTAAACATTATCACCGAAATCTATTCCAGTGTTAATCAGCATAAGGGAATGTTAGTAATTTTTCATTAGTGAATGGCGCTTGAAAGGTAAGTGGTTGTCTAGAAAGATTTTAAGGGGGAAAATGCACGAGATGAGTTATATAACAACATGGCAGATGCTACAAGCTCATGACTTTTGTTAGTATTGCAGGTCTAGAACTCTGTGCCTGTGCCTTCCCCCAGCCCACCCATTGAAGACTGTGTTGCCTGATCCATTGGGTTACCTAATCCTGCCTTCAGAATATCACTGCTGTCCTGTCAGTCAAGGTATTTATGGGGTTAGGATCAGAAAAGAACTTTCCCAAGCTTTCTAAGGGCCCTGCTTGTGAATACATCTTTGTGCATGTGAGAGAACTCTTTCAGATTTGCTTTTATTATAAATATGCCACCAGGTGGTGAGGTTATGTAGGAGGAAACATATAGCCTTACCTTCCAAGTAAAAGCTGGTGGTTATCTACCAAATGAACTTGTGATGGGTCACTAAACTGACCTAGAACAGACTGCAGTGGTATGGAAAAGGAAACTAAAAGCCCACTCACCCTCATTCCATGGAGAGGGTCATATTTGATCCCTGAGAATTTCCCTTAATGTAGTGCCTATTAAGCACCTCTTCTACATCAGCAGGCGAATACTGATCTTCAAAGGCTAGACAGAAAGCAATCTAGCCACTGTAAAGATCAAGGTCATCCTCTGCCAGTGTCACTAACAAAATATAGTTAACAATTTTCTACCACTTCTAATTAAAATTTGATTACTTAGAAGGCTTTCAGTTTTGCGTAGTGAATGCTCAACGTAAAAAAAAATAAATAAATAAAAAAAAAAGGAAAACCTAGCCAAAACAGAACTATTGCTCTCAATTTTAAATAAACCTATTCTGTATGCCTGTTCAGAGGAAGCTGACTGAGGTTAAATGAAGAATAAGTTGAAAAATTAAGAATCAACTTAAGTGAAGGTATGACAATAAAGAAACCTAAAAGAAAAACTATGTCAAACACATCTGATGTTTCACGCTAGGTCGATTTAAACAAAAAAACCCAATTTGGTTGAACACATTTTTTTTTTAATATGACTATGTGTACATGGACAACTCAGATTAGGGAAAAACCCAAAATTAATGTTTTAACAAATTACAGCTGTTACTAAAGACAATATGCTTGGATTTTAAGGAAACAGTCCAATAAATGAATAGCTTCTCATTCAATCTAGTAGGTTAATTAATCCCTCTTTTACTAAAACACACTCTAGTGGCAGAAGTTTACCTTTTTTTTTAACACTCCATAATAAAAATGTGTTCCCTCAATATTCTCTCTCCTTCGAATGGTAAAATAAAATTGAATTTATATTATCAAATGAAAGTGCAGGTTTATACAGCTAAGCTCAGCAGCAAAAGTGAAGAAGAAGAATGAAAGGTGAAAGCTCATGGATGCAACGCAGAACGAGGGCCTTCGGGAAGGTATCCTGTAGTGTCCTGGGTGCTAAACAGTCAACATTCTGTCACTTTTTCATTGCTCTTAAACGAGCAAAACCAAATTCTTTTTTTATTTAAAGAAATACTAAATCTTAATCTCCCCCTCGTCCCCCATATAATTTGTGATCAGGTAAGGCAAAGATAAGTCCCACCATCACTGGGGACAGCAGCAATAAAGAGACTTCAGAAATAGCCCTGAATCATCGGCAACATTCTCTCATGGTGACACAGGAATGCATCCCATAAATCAAATTTTGCAGTGTTCTCACATTATTCTAATTTATTTTGATTAGTTTTAATCTGAAAAAACTTTATAAATACATTATTTAAGAGGACAGTGAATTATTTTCTTGCTCTGAAAAAATAACTTTTTTTCTTCACATTTTAAAACTGTTGAGTATGCGTTTCCAAAAAGAGATGCAAGAATAACAGGACGGCGGGGTCTGCAGAATGTCCATGTACAAGGTGCATTTACAAGAACCTGGTAACCTGCCTATAGTTTGCCTCTACAAACAGAGCGCGTTGTAGTAATACATAAACAAACAGGCTTAATTTAAACACCTCTTCTATTCACTCTACTTGTGAAACCAAGAGGTACTTATATTTCAAGTATTATACTGTAAAAGGTAAAAATTTTTGTGCCAATTTTACATGTTAGCTTTTAAAGACCAAAATACCTATATGAAAAATCATGCCTACTCAGCCCATCTCTTTTTATAGTCAAATGCTCTCATCTTTTAGAGAATGCAGAAAAATATTGATTTCCTAAGAAGGAGCACACTGGAAAAAGCCATTTTAAAGTACTGAAGAACGAGGAGCATTTCTTTTTCTCTACTGGCAAAAATTATTAGAAAAGCTATCCAGTCTGTTGTCTTTCGCTGGTTTTAATAAAGTCTTTTCAAAATGATGATCAAGAAATCCTTAGAAAACTGGAGGAGGGGGATACTCCTTTATAGCATGGAAGGAATTCCATTAATTGTAGAAATTCTTACTAAATTTCTGCTTTGGTTCTTCAGAAGAAATGCTCATATAACTTCTATATTAGGAGACAGAAAAAAGAACAGGTTAACATGACATTTAAAATCTCAAAAGAATACTATCGTAATGTCTTACATTCCTAAAGCCTTACCATGCTTCTATATAGACATTGTCTCATGTAAGAATAGGCAGTTTTATTAGGATCCATGTTCTTATATTTAAGTGAATTCTACCACTAATAGGAAAAAAGTCCTTTTCTTTAACTTAGGCTCTATATCATTTACTTTTCTCTACTGAATAAGTCAACTGTGCTTTTCTTTGAGGTCAGGGCTTTTACGTTCATCTTGAATCCTCAGTACCTGATGCTTCGGGCTCCAAACGTATATTGGAGGTTAAGTAAATGTTTGTTGATAAGTAGTCATGGCACCAAAAGAACCCTAACACCACATAATATCACAGACACTGGACTTTGTTCCTAGAGAAGGTACGTAAGAGGGAAACAGTGAGGATGAAATGACAGGTCAATCAAAAGGTGATTTAAAGCCTGGCAAACGCAACAGGAAGTCATCTGGATGTTCCTATGGTCTCTGTGAATCTGTGACGTGACAAAGTAGAAATGTTTCCACCAACACATGGGTAAGCAGAGTGTTCTCACAGGCAGAAGAGTCAGAATGTCAGGCCTCATCGCTTCCTTCTACAATCTAGAAAAGTAGACCACTAAAGTGAAGTTACACTCACAAGATCAGTATGTTGAAGGGGGAAAAAAAAAGACTAGCTTCATTTGGATAGACAGTTCAGTATTGGCTTTTTCAACCAGTTAAAGTGGTTAAAGAAAATATCTGTTACAAGTTCACAGATGGAGCCTAAAAGACAAAACAATCTGATCACAAACAATTCTTTAATGACTCATGTAAACCTCCCAAATTCGGCTGGCTCTGTTCATGATGGTGACGGATGCTGGTCAATACAGGAAAGTGATGTGTTGGGAAGAGAAGTCGAAAGAATTCAAAGAGGTTTGAAAAGAGATGGAGCTGGATTATCCCACTTACTTTTTTTTTTTTTTAACATTTTTTATTGATTTATAATCATTTTACAATGTCATGTCAAGTATCCCACTTATTTTTGAGACTGATGGGATTGTGCTGTTGAGTTACTATGAGCACTGAGTTGGTCATTTTTTACGTTATTTCTTTGGGTCCTGTAAAGTTATTGTTCTTTTTGCACAAAGACTTCAGGTTAAGCATGAGTCCCAGAGACAGGGTATGACAGAACCACCTGCAGTTTCAGCAGTGATAGTTGCTCAACAGGGGATGGAAGACCCTTGGGTTTAGCATGCTCCTAGTTTGGAATGCCAGTCCCATTACCTAAACTGTCTCTATGTATCTTATTAAATTTAAAAAGGACAATAATATTTATCCAGGTTGGTAAACTCAAAAGAGAAAAATGATGGGAGAACACAATGGCAGTCTTTAGATATCCAAAGAGCTGAGAAAGATGAAATAAAAACCAAACCTTTTCTCCAGTGGGCAGAACGAGTTCAATGGCCCCTAGCTTATGGTGAGGCATCACGGGTCTGTCTTAACACTAAGTGTTAAGTGACACTGACAGCATGCGCTCTGGGGCCATGCAGGGTACACTGCTCCACGAGGAGGCTCATGGATACGCAGTGGGTGCTGCAGACTGAGTTTCTACACCGAGTGGGAGAATGGGAGGGGTGATAGAAGTTGCCCAATCCAACTGAAAATTCAATTTCTGTGACCCATGCACAATCCTTCCATGTGGTTTGTTCGGTCCCTTGAAGAAGGTTCATTCCCTTCTGGGGGACACGTACGTCTTTATGGTGATCACTGAAGGGAGTCTGAGGCAAGCTTACCTGCTGTCTGCTGTGTCTGAACACCATCTACCTGAGGCAGTGGCCCAAGTGTCCCTTCATCGTCAAAGGCCAAGATTGGATTCAAAGGAAGATCCGCAGTCTCACTGGTGGTGACATCTAATCTGGATGGTTTAGAGCCAATGGGCAAATTTATAATTTCTTCAAAATTTTCATTCTGAACTGATACTCCATTTTCATTTGGTTGTTTTTCCAAATTGGGAGTACTAGGGAATTTGAAAAATCAAAATTAAAAGAATTTAGTATTAAAACTGGAAAACGCATTTTCAGGACAACCAAAAATTTTCATAATAAATAATTTTATGATCTTACAATCAAAATGTTAGAATGACTGACCTCATCATTACTAACAGTAATGGTGAATTCTGACATATTTGGATTTTAAATTCTTATTTAAAAAAAGCTTTTTAAAATTGTTCTTATCGATTAGAACAGATTATCACCATGAATAGTTCTACATACATTTAACAAATTTCTACTGCAGGGATTTTACATTCCTTTGTCTGATTAAGAGTAGCCCTTATTAGGACTTTACTTCAAAGATGAGAGGATTATAATTTGGGGGTGAGGGGAGTTATTTGCACAAGCCGCACAACTACTGGGAGACAGTCTAGACTGAATATATGATCTCTTGATCTCCGGCCCTATGTTTTTCTCACAATGCTGTTTTGTATACTCCCTGGCTATTCAAATTTCAGCCCTTCCTGGATATCTCTTGCTTCCTAAAACATGTGCATAATTTTACAGGTAAATTTTTCAAGACCAACCTTTTCATCTTTGCCTCTGACCCCACCTTGATCCTTATTAATTCATGCTTAATATCTTTGGATTTTTGATACATTTTAACTGGCCACCAAATCCTTAATTTTCTACCTGTAATTTCTCTTAGGGTTGTTCACTCCCCTTGCACACTTTGTAAGCCAATAGGCAGCCCTTTGTATGTTTATTGGCACACTTTACAGTGTAGTAAAAACAATGCCTGTGCATCAGATGAATGCTAGATTAATTTTATTGTTCATCTTAACTGACTGCAGCAGTAAACTTACTTGCAAGCTTCATAATTTGTTCAGTGCTCAATTCATGCATAAAAAATGACTATTTGACATTCTAAGGTTAAAAATCTTCAAATGGAAAATAAGAGTAAAAATATGAAGCAGAAATTGTAAAGGTTTTAACTCCTAACACATACTGATCATAAACTGAATGTCTAGCTCTAGATAGAGGTCTATGGAAAGAGATCAGAAAATCAGGTCTCTAATGCCAGTAATGCCCACTGCCTGAATTTTAGCAAGTTAGCTACTCCTTCCCCAAATGGTAGAAATGAAGATAATACACATCCAATCTTTCCATTGCCTTTTTTTTTTTTGAGGAATCTTTGCTATTGAGGAAATAGTACTTTCCTCAGTCAGTGAGAAATATTGCTTTTGTGGAACATATTCTAAAGCATTTCTGATTTGGGTATTTTGGTATATTTCTGTTAAACTTTTTCTTCTAGAAAAAAAAAATCAAGATGCCTGTCCTAGGCACTGCAGGGTACATTGAAAATATTATCTGTAAAAGTGCTGTGGGAAAAACAAAAATATTATACACATTCAGACTATGATGGTGCTTTCCCACTATTTCAGCAAGGAGGGGGTTGGAGGCTTGGCATCACAGTGGTCTACGTGAGTGTGCGCATGCACACACACACACCTATCACCTGCCGTCCTAGGTGCCTGGGCTGCCACACCCATCCTCCTGTTTTTTTCCAACACCACTGGGCTTTCTGTAACCAGGGAAGAGTTTTGGTTCTCCTCCCAAAGAGATTTTTAAGTAGAAGTTTGGGTGAAAGAAAAAGAAGAGGAATGAATCTTCAAAACCCCGGTGCCTTGACCGTCTCAACTCCCGTCATCTTCTAGGCCTGCGTGTGCTGACAAGCTGTGTGGCAATGCCAACCCCAGACTTGAGTCAAAAGCTGACCTCATTTTCCCCTCCCACTCCTACTCAACCACCCCATCCATTCTTATAGCAATGACAGGAATAATTGTGCTATATGTTTTTGAAGCCCAATTATTAAATGTTCAGAGACACTGATCAGCAGAAACTACAAAACAGACTGAAGTCACTGGGGTTAGGGTTTATGGATCTGCGTGTCCTCTCAAGATACGAGCACCAGCTTCTGAATTCCCTTTGGCTACACTCTGGAGGTTGAAGCTGGATGCAAGACTCTTGAAGACCATGTACTCAGTTGGTCCAAAACCTAGTCAGGGAAGGGGGCTGGACCATGGTGGAAATCTGATAGTCTATACATCTTATGGTAGCCAAGACCTTATTTTCAAATTTTTCTTATCATGTTATAGTGAGCAACTTTGAAAGTGATACATTGCCTTCTGTCTGAATGATAGGGGCTTGGGAATGTTACTTTTCCTTTAGACAAACCTAAAAACGATAAACTCCTAAGATTTGGAGGAAAACCACTAGGGCAAAACCTGACATTACTACAAATCCCCTGTGTAAGAGAGAAGGAACATTCCATTGAAAAGACAGTTCCCTAGGGCTAAGAACAAGCATAATAAAATGTCTTGTAGGGGTATTAGGAGGGTAAGACAGTAGACTGTATGTATACTCATGAGACTTTTTTAGCTTCTAGAATAGAGATTCGCAGCTGGACATGGAAGAACGTATCTGAATGACCTAAGAAACTTAATTTCTTCCCACCACATCCCCAACACACTTGTACTCACACATTTATCTGTATCCTCTGTTGCCTGTTTCCATGCAAGTTTCCTATCCATGAAGAGATGTTCTCCTCCACTCCCTGGGCACTTCCCTCTATGATACACTCTCTAAAGAACCTAAACGGCTTCTGGAGTGAGAACCATCCGGTCCAGGCTCATATATTTCTTGGCATCTTTAAAAGTTGGCCAGAATTTTGGCAACACCAACCCTCTTCAGTTCTACCTATTGTCAACAGGGAGACTGTCAGACAAGGAGAATAGCTTTCATGCTTGAAGAGGATCGCATACCAAAACCCAGAGCCGGAGAAACCACAGGGGCCAGACGTGTCACTCAGGCCGTTCAAGGTTCAGGGTGTTCCTGTGCACGGTTTCCCTGTACCAGGAGTGCTGTGAGTGCTGGAAAAGGAGTATCAGGAGGACTCAGTCATCCCCGGGTCCTGTGAGACCATTTGCTGACATCCTCGTGGGGTGGGTAGGGGCGAATATAACCCAGTTCCCAGCACTCATTTATTTTTCCTAAAGAGAAGACAAACCTCCTCTTCGAGTACAAGGTACTCGAGACATTATAAAAAGGCAAACTTCCCCTAATCTGAACCAAAAATATTCCTCCTCAGGAGTGGAGTTTTCTAGTGAAAACAAACCCTGCCACCCTGTCACAGTGGATTCCAGAGTGTCACCCACATCAAGTTCCTTGGAAAGGACCCTGGGTATCTCCAACTAGTGATTTAATTCGTAGTGGGCAGGCTGGGGGAAATCTGTAATAGCAGGGCATTTAATAAAGCAGCTGACTGCAAGGATTATGGAATGCTTCACTAAACGTAAGGCACTGACGTGAAAAACAGTGACTCTGGTAAAAGTGATTTCAAGGTTGACTTGAAACTGGGTGTAAAAGAGAGCATCAGTGGAAATGATTTATTTGTAGTTTTAAGTCCTTCACAGGATTTCGGAAGTAAAACTGTTTAGAAATATGAGTCTCCGCTGAATCAAAAGGAATGTTCATTCGTGAATAGGAAACTGTCTTAGGGAAGGGTATGATAAGTACAAGAGGTCCTTCTCTAGATGAAGGAGGATGAGTGGCAGGCAGCCTCAGGGTCAGGGGCTAACGCCAGTTTTATAATTATCTGGAAGACATACAGGGTGAACATTTTGAGTATGCAGATAATACTTATTCTGGGAAATGCAAGTCATAAGAAGAACCCCTTGAGCATAACAGGGAAAGCAATGAGTTTAGAGAACTGTAGGCTGAGCTGTCCTTACGAGACGGAGAGTTATCAGCCACAGTGGAGGTAAAAGATCTTGCGATCACTGTGAACTGCTTCCTGGTGACACTGGATCTTTAGGTTTTTATGGTTCAAGAAAGAGCCAATAAAATATGAGGCAAAGGAAGATGGGACACCAGATATAACACAAAAGTATTTTTCTACAATATCACACTGCAGCTACACCCACTATACTGTGTGTCCTCTAAACACTGCACTTTTGAAGGATAAAGATAACACCTAACGTTTGTATGGGGCAACACGGGTTTAGGAACTCCTTCACTGACAATATTGTACCCTACCCCTCTTCCATATCTTGTGAGGGAGATATCGCCAGGTCCAGATGAGATGTTCTTAGTTTTCTAAGTAGGTTAATCCCAGAGTTGTTGAACTTCTAGGAACTTTTGGGGGGCAGGGTATAGCTTTGTGGTAGAGCACATGCTTAGCATGCATGAGGTCCTGGGTTCAATCCCTAGTACCTCCTAAGCCTAACTACCTCTCTCCCCCAACCCCCAAAGTAAAATAATTAAACAATACAATAATAAATAAAAAAAAAATATATATATATATAAAAAACTAGGAACTTTTGGTTCTAAAGGACTTCTTCCTCAACTCCACACTCATGTTGAAGAATCTCTAGAGAAATATGACTCAATGATCAAAGATCTGGAGAAGGAGCCTTTTAAAGATAAGGCAAACCTGTTAGTTTTTTTTTTTCCTTTTCTGCCTCTCAGCTCAAAATTTACCCTCCATTTCTGCTCTGTGAAATTGGATCTGGGCCCTTTAAATAATTTTCCTTTGCCATCTTCAGCTCTGTCAATCATGGCTGTTGGAGAGATACTGTAGGAGGAAGGAGTTCTGCTTTTTGGTTTGGGTCGGCAGGCTCTGGCAGCACATCCTTGGGGCCTTCCCAGTGTCCGGCTCCTGTGATGCTTGAGAATTCCTCAGTGCCAGTTCCTGCAATACACCATAGCCAGCAGCTCCCCCCCAGCATCCTTCTAGGGCAGACTTGCGGTAGAGGACCTCTGGTGAGACACCTTCCAGTGGACAGCTTTTCCCCAGCATTCTAGAGGATGGATATCTGGCCAGGTCCACTGTCAAGAAACCATAGCAACTTCTCCACCATCTAATGTCTCACAGTCATATCCTCTCCAACAAGGTCTGGATGGAAGCCCTGAAAGAGGGGACTCTTCCTTGGGTATGGCCCAGGGGATGGGGCTGCTGCTTTTATCTGCTATTCCTGTATTCTTTAGAGTATTCTCTACTTCTTACTAGCCAATCTCCTGTTACTCCAATCCCAAGTAACAGTTATTCTTGATGTTACGTTTTCCTGTTCAAATTAATCTCTGGTTTCTCTCTCCTGATTGAACCCTTACTGATGTAGTAAGCATAACAAAAATATTCAGTTAATAAAATGAAAGTAGAAAGGGAACAGAAAAAAATCCATAAAATCATGAAAGATATGGAAATTGTGAAAGAGGACTTATTCCCTAAAACCTAATTTATGACAATCATGGGTCCTAACTTTTAAACTGCAAGTTCTCTATAAGAGAAATACAAGTACTTCTTTATGTTGTTACTACGAGAGATGATGTAAAGTGAAAATACAGATTGTTTCAAGATTGGCATGGATAAATTCAAGGAAGATAAATTTTAAAATAATTAAGGGAAGCAGAGTTTCTTAGGTTACACATTGCAAGCTTTGTGTATCACGCAATGAGGAATAAATTTAACAGCACACTAAACATTTCCCAGAGGCCAGGGTCATTCAGAAATGGACTGTGTTTCTCAAACTGGGTTCCAACTCTTTTTTTTTTTTTTGGGTTCCAACTCTTTATATGAATTTTTACAAATTTGTTTTTGCTCCGATAAAATTAAAAAAAAATCATTACAATAGTCTGATCATCTACATAGCTATCACAAAACTGAGTGTTATCACATGATTTTGGTGCTTCATTCTTCATTAGTATTTCAGAGCATACTGATATCAGGTAGTACCAGCTTACGTGACAAGGGCTAATAACAGACCAGTTTGAACTGGGTAAATATTGTGTTAATGCCAAGTAAAAGCCAAGAGATATCATAGTACGCTGTATGAAAAGAGATTTGAGGTTTTAAAGCAGTTTAAACAGAGAAAAACAATGGGTGAAATAAATCACCAGCAACTCATGGTAGCACAGAGCATCTCTAATGCATCAGGTCCATGTGTATACTGTTGCCTTAATTTCAGAAAAATATTCTTCATGACAAATATCTTTTAATTTGAATGTTTTTGAGCTAGCAGTGTTTTTTTTTATTAAAACTTAAATTTGTGATTTGTTTTGGCTTTACAGATAGATAAGACCTATCAAAAACTTAAACCTAAGTTTATATTTGTAAACATAGTAACACTTGCATAACTCCAGGAATCTGCTAGAATTTTTTTCCTTTAGAAGAGAGATAACATTGGGGCCAAAATGGATTTAATTTGTTAGGGTCATTCTTGTGTTATATACTAATGTTTATATTTGATATTAACCTGGACCTGCCTATATTATATTAAGTGGAAGACTAGAAAAAGGTCTGTTTATATTTTTCCTAGTAGTATTATGTTTCAGCTTGTTATATAATAATTGATCACTGGTGATTTTACCACTGAAGAGCATCAACTAATGTATACTAATTTTATTCCTCAGAGAGAATTATAAGTGTCTTAAAAAACCTATTCCTTATTATAATAATGGAGTTCTCTCTGTGGTAATTTTTATCCTTTCCTTAAAATTTCTGAACTCAGTGAATTAAATGTCATAAATTACAGCAGTTGGAAATGAATATTTTATTTGAAAATCAAGCTGTAACTAAAAGTGTAATGTCCCTTACTGGATACTTTAGGTAATTATAATTATGACAATAAACTTATTCAACATAATCAAAAGCTTATTGTTAAGCGCTCTCTTAGTAAAGTTATCTTCTTTGGTATTATAGTGGGCAAAATCAAAAAATTTTTACTGTCCCAGAAAGATAACCACAGGTATTTTATGACTAATAGACAACTTAGGATATCCAGCTTAGGGTAACTTATCTTTTCATTGCTGCCAGTAATATAAAATGCTGTGCAGAAATGTGTTTTTAGATTAAGAAAAAAATTAATTTATGTCTATTAAATCATTATATGGAATACCTTAAACTCAGACAGTGGTCAATTATATCTCAATAAAATTGGAAGAAAAAAGATCTTAAAAGACATATTATCTGTTAAAAGAAAAAAATTAAATTCAGGAGCTTCAATTCTTTGATGGAAGCAAAGATTGATATTAGAGGCAGAAGAACTCATAAAACAATTAAATAAGTTCTGAAAATTAAAAAGTCATAGCTGAAATTTTTGAACATTTATTACAAATATTCCTACAAGTTCTCTCTGACTGGATTTAGGCACAGGCTATGACTACCCTTATTTTTCATTTTTTGAGAGTGCTCTTACGACACTGTCAATGTAATTGCAAGAGAAGAGAAAGGTAATATTTCTTCAATCCATACTTCTTTCTTAACTATTGTTAGCAACCTTTTATTTCCTCAATAAGAAGACCCACAACTAGTGTAAGAAATACTGGCATCTAAATTTTGTTTACTATGGAGCAAACCTGTGACTCACTGTAAAATTTCACTGTACAGTGAAAATACAGTCGTTCTATATCATTAAAGGGTGTGAAGGTGGTCTAGATCATGCCAAATATATACAAAGAAAAGCAACATTATTCCCTGTAACTTTTTAATAGTCACACAAAAACCTCACCATCCTATTTAAAGATTCAAGAAAAAAGATATTTTCCTTTTCCGAGATTACAGAATTACTAGTTCTATCAAAAATTAATGATCCTCAATAAAAATAAACCTTCATGTTAAAACTCTGAAATTCTGCCCAGCCCAGAAATTCTGGTAGGACTGGTGGGGCAAAAGCAATAGCGCTTTGCTCTAATGTGTATCAGTAAAAGAGGCCTCAGCTGTTTAACTCACCTCTCCGCAGTCACTTTGGATTGGTGTGAGGTAACCGCATGGGGGCTGGCTGCTGGTTCTCCTTGTCCTGGAGAGTTTGTCATACATGGAAGTGCAGATACCACTGGACATAGCAAAGAAGATGGAACAAAGCGTTACTACTACTGTACTGTCAAACTCAAACCCTAGGGGACAATGCCTGGATGCACATCCTGGCTCTACTACTTATCAGCTATGTCACCCTGGGCAAGCCACAAACGCCCTGTGCCTCAGTTTCCTCATGGATAACAATACCTACCTCATAGGCTAATGTGAAAATTAAATGCACTAACACAGGCAAAGTACTTAGAACACTGCTCAGTACGTCATAAGGGTAGAAATCAGTACTGCTATTATTTTCACTTGCACTAAATTGACTTTGGATCAAAAATATGTAACACCGAAACCAAAGCAACTGATGAAGAAAGCAGTAAGCTGATTTCATCAGGCCAACACTGAACATCTTTATTGAAGGATTTGGAGCAAATCATCATGAAATACCTAAGTGATGGAAAATATTTTTTAAAACTCAGTGTAGTTATACCCACACTTAGAATGGTAGGGATGTCATGCCTGGAAGGCCAGTGAATTGTACCTAACTACGTCATCAGTCATTCAATGCTCCCCACTGGAGTCTAGCATAAGCCAACAATATTGATGACTGACTCTAAACTCTGGGCCAGGTTTACTTCAAGTCTTGTAAACCTTACATAGGTCACAGTTTCAGGGACCTCTGTGGCAGTTTATGGTTTCAGCTTGATGTGAGAGAATAACTGAACTAATTCTGAGAAAGTGTTATTTCACAGCCTGGCACAAATTCAGTAAAACTGCCAGAGGTACAAGGTATCTGATAACTGAACCAAAGAAGAGACTGATAACTTAAAACCTGCCGACACTGGCAAAGCTGGTAATGGGCAACCTCTGAGAAGACTCCTGATAGGTCTGAAAAGTCACCTGCCTGCCCGCCCTAGAATTCTCTTTGGAGCCCTGGTGACACCATGCAGTCCTCAACCACATGTGGGACCAGGAGAAGAACATCCGTTAGATAATCTTCGGGACTCTTTTTAGCAGTATTAACGCAAACCAAATTTATTATGAGTGTTGATAAACCCAGGTATGACAACTGACAGATTTTACCTTCCCTCTCCCCATTGTTTATTCTCCAACTGAGGTACAAAGAATATCCAAAGAATTGATAGGGCAATAGCAGGAAGAAGAAAGATGGAAAAATAAAAAACCCAACAAGGAATCTGGCCATGCACAAAGTACAGCATCAGCTCCTCAAATAATCCTGAGTTGGTGCAATTTACATCCTAAAGTGCTCATTCTAATGACCCACTGGGTGCTATGCCTGCTTCAAGCCTACATGTATTATAACATTCTTGGAGATAACCTGATAAAAATGCAATGGGGTTAATATGCAACCACTACAGCGACTCTCCAAACAAATAAAATTAGGGCATCTTTAAAAGAGCATGAAAACCTCACTATGAAGGAATCAAGACATTGAGAAACGAGGGTAGCCTCTACTGAAATAAAACCAAATCCTGAAATACCAATATTTTACATTTGAAAACTCCTGGAGTTTACAAAGAATGTTCTTTCACATACATCACTTCATTTGATCTTCACTCCAGTCTTTAAAAAAAACCGCAAAAGCTCTGGTCCTTTCTTTTCACATTGATATTGCAGATGAGGAAAGAAGATGACTGAATACTGAACTAACGACCAACCACCTGTATGCACAATCATGAAGACCACGTGGAATCACAGAAGGAACTGACTGACAAGTTGGTGACTTGGACTTCAGCTGTGCAAACCAGGCCTATCACTCATTCTGAATGCTCCTTGGAGGTGAGGCCCTTGCCTGACCTGTTCACACTGAATCCTAGCACCTACAGCAGGGCCTGGCACACAGGTTTCCAAAAATGCTTGCTGACTCCAAGATAAAGCATATTCTATCTCACAGGCCTGCAACGGAACTTAAACAAGAAAATGTACGCAGACATAGCTGACACAAAGAAGGCATTTTAATAAATAGTAATTGAATCTGAGTACTGAAACACTAAGTAAACTTTATTATTATTTACACCAAATTTGGTTTAAAATCACCAAGAAATTAACCAGCTCTGTCCAAAGCCTACAGCACATGAACTTTCTAATGAAATTTCAACACCTTTCAAATTTAAAACTCTATTCTGAAGTCAGAACTAAAAGAAATAATATTTAAACTCATTTCTGAGAACTGTCATAAGTACAAATTGTCAAAATGTTTAACGTTTTTAATAGCAAATATAAATGCAGGATCCTTCAGCAGGTAGTAAATAATAAATTAAATTTAATTTTATAAACTCAAAATTATTCTTATCATGTGTGTATACATAGCTATACAGGCATATATACATATATACACACAGATATGTACATATATACACATAGATGTATATAACATAAGATGACTTAAGATATTAAACACTCCATTAGAGTATAAACAGGTGTAAAAAAACCCTGCTAGAAATGCTAGAGATTTTTAGATAAAAGGGAGTATCTGTGGACTAGATGAGACACACCTAAGCTTCTGAGTCAATGAGTATTTTTAAAAATTTTAAATCAATCAATGATTTATCTTGACCTCTAGAGAGTCAATTCAAAAATTCTGTACTTGAATTCATTTGAGTTCACTGAATAAATACCTGTTCCTCCAGTGAGAGCTCCCTTGGTTATATCTCCGTTTCTCTGATCAACAGTTTTCTAATAAAGAAAAAAGAAAGATGTTTTAATGTTAAAATTGCAAGTGAAAGTAAACAGAAAAAAAAGCCGTTATGAATAGTTTAAAAATGGCCATCTTAATACCTTATCTGCAGCTTCTGTTCTCCTGGTTCTTTTCATAATCTCCTCAAGTCGCTGCAGGGAAGGAAGAATGGAGCAAACAGATCAGATAGAGAAAGCAAGTCTGGTGCACTTCTCTGACTAAGCAAATAGCAGGTCATTAAAACTTGTCTATTATTTTGGGAGAACACAGCTGTCTTTGTCTTAACAGGACTTATTCAAAAAAGGTGGAACTGGCTTAAGCCACATGAACTGGAAGGAACTTTATGGTGAAGGCTGAAACATGAAGACTCTTTCCTTTGGTGAAGAATATTTATACTGAGAGCTACTTTAGTTTATCTGGAATGGGCAAAACACATTTGCTTTCTGACGGCAGTAAGCTGGTGCCTCGGTCTTGAGACGGCCACAAGTCTAGAAGAATGAGAACAAAAAGTGCGCCAGGCTTCCGCGTGGGACGCTACTACCTTCTTTCTCTCCAGACGCTCCTGCTCTTCTTTCTGGAAATGCTTCTCCCGTTCCTGCCGGACCCTCTCTGTTTCTTCGCGAACACGCGCTTCTTCTTCTTTCTGAAAACAGGAAGTCGGCATCTGCTTCTTACAAACAGGCTGGATACGCCCGCTGCCCAGCGGTCCCCGGGCGACCAGGGTTGGGGGTAAGAATGGCAGGTGGAGAACGTGCGGACCCCAAGGGCGCGCAGGAGACAGGGCACTCCTAGCGCTAAGCTCAACATCTTCCTCTACTCATCCGCGCCACCCCTCTCCGCCCCTCTCTGCCGCTCTCCGCATCTCCAGTCCGGACCCCACCTGCTTCTGGACGCGCTCCATCTCTTCCCGCTCGCGCCGCGCCCGCTCCTCCTCCTGCTGCCGCAGCTGCTCTTCCCTCTCCAGGGCTTGCTCTGCTTCCAGCCGGCGGGCCTCCTCCTCCCGGCGGGTTCTCTCTTCAGCCACCTTTTGAGCCAACTCCTCCCTCTTTTGTCTGGAAAAAGACAAAACCCAAGCTCAAGATGCATGAGGGGAGTTCCTTGGAGAGGCTCAAGTGAGTGGTTATCCCCAGGACAGCCTGCTGGGCGGTCTGGCCAAGTCTCCACTGGACACATGGGGAGCCATCCTCTCTTCCTCCTCCCCTCCACAGCCTCACGTTGCCTTCGGGTGGACAGACGCAGAATGTATCCACCAAGATTCGGAGGAGAGCTTGTTTTTCAGAAGGATCTGCAACAGAACTATCTTTAAAGGCTGAGATAGTTGGATTGTTTAATCCAGTAATGTGACTTTTGAGTAACGAATTTAACACTCCCCCCAAATATTTTGTAAATGAGAAATGGTTACGAGGAAAGATAACGAGGAAATATGGAGATGAGAGCTATGTCAAATGAAATACTCAGACCGCACAACTGTACCTCTATTGTGGTTATGACTGTGCAAATACACGTGTGTATGTATCTACTGATGTCAGCATACACACCCACACA